CATAGTTTTTCAACAACTCAAGATGCAGGTGATGTAAAGTCTAAGACTTTAAAGCTAGGGTGTTACAAGGATATGAGGTTAATACTTGTTTTTAGTTCTAATAGTAGAATTGAAAATGTAATTGAGAACTGAATATTTTACTACCTTCAATATTAAAATCATTAATTTTTAGCCAGTAGTGGTTTGAATTTGGTTTTAATTTTTGCAAGTGTACTCATCAGCTTCTGGTAATTGGATATTAGTTGTAGAACAATATTTTGAAGAGAACATCAAGAAATCTTAGAGGATTTCACATATCAGATGAAAGGGAGAAGTGTAGGAGAAGATGATTCAGTTTCTATGTTGTTAGAAATTTTGAATGGTATTGTGTCTGGTTTGAATTTCATGATGTGCTCCAACTTGGATGAAAAAATAATTTATGGGAATTTCCTAAGTATTTGCTAAGTTTTGTGCGGATCTTTCATCCTTTGAGGAATATCTGTGCTTGCAGGGATGTTGGAAGGATTTCATGAGCATGTGGGCATTTGCAGGACTTCCTCCTTTTGTTTGAAAGGAGGGAGAGTACTTTGAGGTACTGGATAGTTCAGTCTTAAAGCTGCTCTCTGGTTTTCATTCTAATCTAAATCAGCTGGTAAACTCAGGTTTAAATATCAAAGCAATACCTTTAGTGTTGGAGTCTATGTAGTTTGTTATCAAGCGTTGCATTTTTGCAATTGTGCTCATTTTATTGTGAAACACACTTGAAGATGCAGGCAGTGTTATCAAATGATTAGGCCAGAGTAATTTTTTACTTTTTCCTGTTAATTTGTCTGTAGCATATTACCCATTGAAATAGAAAATGAACAGTAATGCCTGTAAAATTAAGGTGAAGCCATAATCTGTTCATACTTTTTGGGGGAAAAAAGTGAAAATAACTTTTTTTTTGTGTGTGTCTTCAGCTTTTATGAAATGCAGTAGTGAAGGAACAGCCCCAGTTATTGTCTTTGTTTCCAAAATGTTTCCTGTTGATTCAAAAGCATTACCACAGAATAAACCAAGGTAAGAAAATGTAACACTTAACTTTGTGACCTACATTAGATAGTTCTAGGAAAAAAAATCATATTGAAAGTGTGGCTAAGTTGTTTTAGACCTGAGAAAATAGTGGATTCTTGAGATTCAATAAAGTTTTTTCCTCAAGTAAAGATTTTCTGAATGACTTTAAAAGATTTTTTTTAAATCATATTAGTTTTAGAAGGTACAACAAATCTGCTGGAGAATAGTACTGTTGTCCAAATATATCATCTTAATGCAGGCACTGTGTGCTGTTTCAGGATGTTTGGTGGAAATGATTGAGTTGTAATACTTCCTTAGTTTTTCAGTGAGGTTGTGTTGGCATGACCATAACAGCTTGTGTTGTACCAGGAAACACTTCCCATCAAATTGGGCATAATATCTCAATGATCATCCAGTTCATTGCAAGTGCAAAATAAAATGGGTTAATTAAAGTAGTCCAAACCTTGACTAACTCTATTCAGTGCCCTGAAAGGCACTAATGCACTTCAAAAGGGTTTTTTCTGGGAGGTTTGGGAGACTGTTTTGTTACAGCTTTTTATTGCTTAATAACCATATTATTTTCTCTGAGGAGTAGATCCTTCTTGATTTCATTTCCCTGGCACACTTAAGTGTACTACTTTTAGCTGAAGTCATCTGGGTTTTTTTTCAGAAGAAATGTGCTTTTCTGAGGAGTTTATAAGAATATTCATCTTAACCTTTCATCTTTCTAAGCCTCTGGAGCATTTTCAGTAGGCAGCTTTTGTATTAACTGGCCATGTTGTGTTTTTCTGGGATTGTTACTGTACAGTGAAGTAATATAGGAAATATAAATTTTTCTGCTGAATTGGACTGATTGTGACTGTTAAGTCGTTGTGCAAAAAAATGGTACTGCTACAATAGTAATATTTGAAAGCTTTACTACTATCCTAGGTTTTCCACGCACTTCCTAGATTTATTTTAGTTTTTTCTTGCTGAGCTTGTCTACAAATCTTCCACCAAAAATCTTTCTTGCAGTGAGTTCAGGGAAAAGATGCATTGCACTTCTGGATTGAGCAGACACTAGATGGTGCAGTTTTGCTTTGAGTATCTGAAACATGAGTTCTTCTCAGGTCCTGGTGTGGCACAGCAGCGCCATTCCTGCTTTGTCTCCCCTCCTGGATATGTACTCTAGTTATCAGAGTACACTGAGGCCATCACTTTCTGGCTGTTCTGTCACTAATAATGACTTGGTTTTTTATTTGTTGGGAAGATTGAGAGTCTTCTGAGGTCATGAGAATGTGACATAGGGGCAAAGTTGGCTTTTACATGCACCAGACAGTGAATTTTTCAAGATTTTAGTTACTTTCCCTTCCCCCTGTTTATTCAGTATGTTGAAAATTGTAGTGTCTTGCTATGTAGTTATTTTGAAAAGTATTTCTTGCTGGGCTTCGTATTAAGTTACTCTAGTAGTTACTATTTGGCTAATGTGAAAATGAAGTCACCTGAGTGTTTTCCTTTGAGATAACCAGTCATAAGCAGTACTGTGTGATTCTGTGGATTAGGTACTATTAATGATTTTGTTTTGAGGTGACAGTTGGATTCCATTGTTTGAAAAACAGTAGTATAGCTAAATGTGTATTTCTTGATATTTTATGTGTTAAGATTAGCAGTTCTTGAAGAAATCTGAAAAGATTCAAAGAGTCAAAGGTATCTCCATGAAGCAAAATCTAAGTGTTTTAAAAGACAGCACTGTGTAGATGTAGTTCCTGAGCACACTGTGTGCTATTCACAATTACACAGTGAAGATTGGACTTAACAGAATTGAGTGATGGTCGAGTGGAGCAAGAGAGATCCAGTATTTAAACTGGCATTCCATGAGGGTGCTCCATAAGAATGTCTGAACATAGGGAGGAACAAAGAATATCTCCACTATATCTGTTACCAGTGGTTTCATGTTTACCTATTAAAGAAGGTGAATAAATGTTGTATGTTTTATTTACTGTTAATTTTGAGGAGACATAACTATTCTTGTGTATCTTGATGTTTGACTGCTGGACTGATCTGCTGCGGTTATTTACATGCTTTGGGGATGGGGGAGGGATTAATTTAAGCATGTAAAAGCATGTAAAAAATCTGAGAGTTTTTGGTTTTTTGCAAGACTTGTACTTTTCTAAGGTGTTTGTAACTTTCTGAGAAGATGCAAGTTGACTTTGCAGCAGTTTTTTATGGTTTGCCTTATTTCTGCCATCTGCTTGTAATAAGCTGGGAAAAAGAAAAAGCTCTTGTAAGTCCAGGGTGTACAGTAAATGATAACAAAGGATGGATTTTTAATTAAAACAACCTCCTTTGAGACTGCTGTTGGCAACTAATATCTCCTAGAAGGTGACCTTAAAATTAATAGATTCTACATTAAAACTGCTATGATTTTGCTTTTACTGGTAAAATAGCAAAGTTTGTCAGCTGTTACTACATTAGAAAACATGGAAAAATAATTTTTTGTCAAGTTGGCAGCTTCGATTTATCTTTCTTTGGAAAGAACTGAAAATTGACTTTTTGTATGGTACCAGTATGTCCCGAGTTTTTATCAGGTTTTCTGAAGAAACAAGAATTGTGCGAATATGTTTTGTCTTCCAGTTTCTTCTTTCTCAACTTCTGAAATTACTCCCTAATTCCAGCCGAATCAAAGATGTAAACTGACTGTTGAGGAGAGTTAAACAAATGAGGACTCCTCCTTCACTTTAGATGTTAAAATATCTAAAACCCAAACCAGTAGGAAACAGGCCCGTGTTGGCTTCTCTTGGAGCTGCTGACTTTGTGTTAGGAGGCCGTGGTTGTTTGTGTTACTTATTCTTAAGTATTGCTGTGTGTGGAATTAGGTGTTCATTCATCATATGCTGGCTCTTTCTCATTCCCACTGGTGTTTTACGTTGAACTGCAGTCTAACACAGAATGGTTGAGTGGAGGTGTATAAATAAAAGGTACAGGGTCTAAATGTTCCAGTTTTCCTGAGGTTCAGAATTCTGTCTTTATCTAAACCAGTGTAAAAGAGAAATATTTAGTAGTTAGTTGCAATTGCTTTTGAGTGTTGCTAGGTGTATTTGATGTAAAATGCTAAGAAAATATAAATTGAATATCAGATGTTATGATGAAATCATCTACTAACTTTGTAGAGCTTTATGTGTAAATGTCACAGTGATGTGATGCCATGTCAGCAATAGGAGGGCAAATCTTTTATGTTACTTCAAGGCCATCTTACAATCCTGCTGAATAATGTAAATAAATAGAGTACACTGAAGAAATTCCATTTCTGCTTTCCAGTGGTAATAAAGAAAAGTCTATTGAACAGATAAGCTGGTGTACTAAAATTATATTTCATTACTGCAGTGGGGGATATAAAACCTATAATACCTGTACCATTTCCCTCCAGATAGTATGAAAGATTCTTTCTCAGTCAGCTTGAAATCAGGACTGTTTTTTTTTTTTTAGGTGTCACCAGGAAACAGACACTTTCTCATACAATTCTGCATGAAATTATGATGATAGCTGTTTCTCTGTTTTATGCTTCAGCTTAATTGAATGTCTTAAACCAAGATTGTAGTGTATTTCTTTTCTTTGCTTTCTAATGTTTCCTAAAAACTGTATTGGAAAAAAAAATCCTGTAATTTTCACCAAACCTTCAGCTGAAATGTCATTACATTGTCTTGATCCTAATGAGAACATTTATAAAGCTCCAAGCTGTGTAAGGAATTGCTGTCTTCTTGCAAGTAAATTAACTTCTACGTTTAAAGGCAATATGACTTGCAGTGACTTCAGTGTGACCTGAACCCATCAGCTTCTGTTTTCAGTAATAATTTGTTCTAAATAGTAGTTTGTGCATTAGAAATGAGTCATCTGAATAGGCTGTCAGATTTGCAGGTTAACATCTGAATTTGGCACACAATTATGTAATTAATAGACTAATATATGCTTTTCAAAAATTAAAACCCCTATTACTGTTATCATGAAAAAGATTTCAGTGTAACAGTATACAGCTGAATCCGGCTAAGACCTTTGGAATTGATTCAAGGAAGAAATATGTAGTAATGGTTGAAATTTGGATCTCCAGGCATAATTTAGTTTGTGTAATGGTAAGATTAAGAGAGAAAAGCTTGTAACATTGTGGAAGAGTTTTGCTTCGAGTTTATTCTTTTTTTTATTGCACATTTAGCATGTGAAATAAATCAAAGGTCCATATATCATTCTAGAGTGTTTTTCAAGGCAGTATATGACAGCTTGGTATTGATATCTTATTCCATTACATATCTCAGAATGAATGAAAGCTGCTATGTAATATAATACAAAAGAGTTATTGAGTGTTCCCTGTTGCAGGAGCTCTGGAAGATTGTAGTATGAAATTTTATGTAAATTCTGATTTGGATAACTTTCAGTTGTTTGCACATTTGTTTCTACTGTGAATTGCATAGCACTTTCAGTTGCAACAGAAACAATAGTAAATGATCTTGGTAGATGTACATTAGTTTGTGAATGGAAATAGTTCCATAGACATTAAGTAGTTTAATACAGAAAGTAACAAACTTTAGAAGGATTAGCAAGACCACTGGACACAGGCTGTGCTGAAACGGAGCAAATAAACTGCACTTGACAGAGCTGTCCTTAGGGATGCTGTTGACAGAATTCTTTGGGTGCCAGATGAGTGGAACAGCAGCCAATGATTTTGCTAGAACTTAATTCTGAAGAGCAGAGCCATGAAGAGTAATCTGGAGGATTCTCTTTAAATTACTTGGATTTAAAGATGTTATCTGAAGTTACTCCCTTCGCACCTTGTGAAGTCAGGTCACGTGTCCATGAGCTCATGGAATTTAAACTGGTAAAACTGCATGGAGAGAGAGTATTCTCAGCACTTCAGAAACATTGTCCATGGCACGGGAGATGCATCACAGACACTTGTTGGCAGCACTATTAATCCTTTGGAAATCAGTTGATGTTCTGACTGTGGTGGTTCCTTTTTAAAATGGTCTGAAGGTTAAAAAACATAACACTTTAATAATCAGAGGCAAATTTACCTTTGGGGGGGTTTGTTTTGATGATTCACTCTGAATTTTTGAACTGTTTTGGATTGAAGTCTCTCTTTGATAATGTGAAGGAGTAGAAAAGCTATCATGTTCAGAGGATTGTGGGAATCACAGAAGTAGCTGGCAGTAGCTTGCTTACATTACCTGAAAACTGATGGATTTGATCAACAATCTACTGAATGCTGGTAGTATGTATATTATACTCTTTCCCACATTATTATTTCCATAGCTTTTCTGTACCATGTGTTTGAGATTAAGATGAGTTAGTAATATGTGTTCACCCATCTATGTCAGCTCCATTACTTGTGCCAGCTTCCCATGTCTGGAGGCAGGGAATCTCTTCTTTCTCTTTCTGCTCCTGAATTTTCATTTGCTGTTTTTTGTGGGACTGCATGGTCCCTTTTTTTCCTGCCAGTGTTAGGAGGCTATAGATCCTTTCTTGTGGAGTGAAAAAGGGGAAGGGAAGAAAAAGAAGAGACAGTCTTTCTTTTGGTTTGGGCAGCATTTGTTGAAAATTGATTTTGTCTCTGATTGGTTTTGTCAACTGGAGAAATTGAATAAATCAGGGTATAATTTAAAACTGGTTTTGTTGCAGATCCAGTGCCTTATGTGCATTAATCTTGTTCTGTGTTCTGCCTGAGTGTGTTACAACTCTATATAAGGATTTATTTGACAACATTATCTTTTTTTAGTTTCTAATGATACTACTGGGAGTGACTAATTTTATAGAAATTGATGCTGACAGAAACCAGGATGGAAGTTTAGGTTGTACCTACTAGCTAAAGTCCCACCTACACTCAGTCTGCTTTTTCATCAAATTGAGAATATAATTAACTGTGATTATATGTGCTGCAACTTAAACCAGTGCATTCTAAATTTTAAGGTACCTTTAATATTTGTGGTTAGGGCTATCTGATACCTAAATATACTGATATTTTTAAGAATACCATGTAAAGGGGAAAATGCAAACTTCTTTTTTTTGCTCTCAGTATTATTTACACAAATGAAAAGTATTTTTGGACAATCAAATGTGTTGGAATGCATATGTATGTCCTCATGTGTATACTATGCCATCATATATAGACTGCATTTATGACACCCTTGGCTGTCTCATCTGTACTTTCCCTATCAATCTCTCTCCTCTGGGAATTTTTCTGACATTCCAAACCCTTAAATAACTTTGAACAGCTGCCTTCAGGAAAAAAAAATAATGAAAAAGTTTTCATGTCCACCATCTGCTTTGTGTTTTGTATTGTTAAACCTCGCTCTCTTTTGCAATAAAGTAAACAGGCCAAACAGTAATATCACAGTATCTGCAATTTCAGAGTTACATATTCTTAATTCTGTCACAATGATTACTTAAGAAACAATTAAAAAAAAAAAGAAAAAAGAAAAACCCCCAAGTTGCTAAGAAGTTTGAAGTGGTGATTTTGTCTTGCTTTCTCCTTTTCTATGACATATGATGTCACAACTCAGAACCAGGTTGAGTTCTAAAAGTCTGTGCTTCAAATTCTTACATTTTATTCTGGTGGCCTCTCTTAGGTAATTTTTAGAGAGATTTTTAACGTATGTATAATTTTCTTATTCTTTTGAATTGGACATTTGGATTCAAGATAAGCCTGATAACTGTTCAGTGATTTCCCCAAGTTCTAGGAGAAATTTTGATAAAATGAAGGGTTTCATTTTTTAAATGAAGTGTCTTGCAGAATGTGTTATATGCAGTAAAGCATCCAGATTGTAATATTAGGAAAAATCTTACTGGCAGTGAGTTGGTCTCAGCCACATAATCTATTCAAGGCTTCCTGCCCCTAATTAATCCACTTAAAAGCAAAGTAAGTGTCCTGTAACTACTTCTACTGACGACACATAAAAACTTGGACCTGTCAATAATGGGTTGTTTCCCTACTTAGGAGTGTGTAATAGTTGATATGGCAAAGTGAGTCAATGTTTTTGTGCTTTTTTTGCTGGAGATCATATTTACGTGGCTATTCTGTAAACTGCTTCCTGTGGTTTTCTTCCTCTTATCATTCATTACTACCATTGCTATTCAGGAAATCTTGACCTGTTTTTGTAAGTGTGGAAATTAAAGAGGGGAAGTGACTTGTCCAAGGCTACTAAACAAGCTAAAACTACTAATAGGAAAATCCTAAACCATCTAAACACGAAGAACTGTTGTTCTTACCTCCATCCTGTGAGCAAATGCAGGACACATCACTGTAGGTTTAGCAAACAGACTTTTTCCTGCATTTGAGCACTTGCTGTAAAGATTGCCTGAAAATAATAAAGACACCACAAGTAATTAAAAATGGCAGTATTTGATCTCTTAGGAAGAAAAGTCTGGGTTTTTTTCTAACTACCTTGATATAGATAAGCTGAGATTAGTGTGCTGTATTTGTAGTGTGAGCAGTCATTCTAGTTCAGGGTAACATACAGCAGGACATGGTGTAAAAAGCAGTTTTGAAAATTGTCTTGGATTTTTGTCTGAAAAAGTGAGAATTCACATGGTGCAGGAAACTTGATTTATTTTAGCAAAATAACATAGTGGCCTCTTTCTAAATATGGCAGAGGAAGAGTTTTGCTAATTTTAGCTGACTTAAAATCTATACTGTCATGGGGGCAAGAGGCATTCTGTGTGAGCTTTTACTTTTGCCAAATATAGTATTCTCATTATTGTTATTTGTTTTAGAATAGATTACTTTTCCAAATACTGATGTTTTAAAATACAATGTAGGCCATTAACTCAAGAAGAAATTGCTCATCGGCGTGAACTTGCGAAACGAAGGCACGCAGAGAAACTGGCAGCAAGTCAAGGGAAGGAGCTGCCAGAAGAGCCCCCAAGTGAAAATTCATCTGAAGTAGCTGGGAACACTGGTGATACAAAAGGTGGGTGGTGCCCTAATACCTATTTTTCCTGGAGGGTGTTTAATAGTAGTGTCTTGGTGTTGCCAAGGGGCTGTGTACATCCACACCGTGAATCATTCACATGCCACTCCAGAGTTAACTACATGGAACTGAACAAAGAGTGAGGAAAGATTTGTAGGAAAGCTGATAGTTCATAAATGGTGTAATAGTGCCATGGGTACATGTTCCTATAGCCTAAAAATGTGCTTGGTCTTCGTACTTTGAGTCAGTGAAGAGAGATGATGCTTGAAGGAGATGCTCTGCTGAAAGTTAAATAATTTTGAGCCCCAAACGAACAGCCTAATAATAAATTGGTACAACAGCAGTGTATGAGCTACAGGACTGGATTATGAGTTACAGTGGTGGGGGTTGGTCTTTTTTCCCAAGTAACAGGGAATGTTAGGAATAGGACAAGAGGAAATGGCCTCAAATTGTGCCAGGGAAGGTTTAGAGGAAAAATTTCTTGACCAAAAGTGGTGTAGGTGGTTGAGACACCATCCAGGGAAGTGGTTGAGACACCATCCATGGGGATATTTAAAAGATGTGGCACGTTAGGGGCATTTTTTAGTGGTGGACTGGGCAGAGCTGGGTTAAGGGTTGGATTTCATGATCTTAAGGGTCTGTTTTAACCTAAACGATTCTGTGATTTGCCAGATGTGATAATATAATATGTAGCTCATTTTTTTTCTCTTCAGATGATGAAGCAGAAACTGTTTTTATATTTAATATATTTTTTCTAACTTTGGTTAGGTGAAGAGCAACAGGTCACTGGTCAAGGAGACAGCATGACCTCGAAGGTAGTGAAAGAGGAAACAGAAAACAAGGAATCTTTCATTGCATTTGCCAGAGTGTTCAGTGGTGTGGCAAAAAGAGGGCAAAAAATCTTTGTTTTAGGACCAAAATATGATCCTGCTGAGACCTTGCATAAGGTAAGAGGTGGCAGTGAACTGTTACAATAGCTTGGGATTCTTCTGAAGCATTGATGACTGAACTTCTTACATGTTGCTCACTCAAAAAATAAAAAAAAAAGTTCAAGTAAAAAGTTCCAGAAAGTATGGAAGTAATTTAGGTAATTGTGCTAATAGTTGATTGTGAGTGTAAGCTCATTATAAACCTTAACATTTCCGAAATACTTTTAAGTAGTGTTGTATTAGCTTACCATAAATCCAGTATGTATATATTTTGATTTAAAAAAACAAAAAAGAAGTGAAGGATAAAGCAATGCTTTTAGGGAACAGAAGATGTTGAAAAGTATTGAAAAAAGTAGTGTTAAATGTTTTGAGATTATGATCAAAGAAGTTCATTGCTTTTGAATTTAATTCAAAACGTTTTATCAGAGATAATGAAAACTGGGATGGGGTAATACACACCTAAAATTCTCCAAAGAAAGCATTATTTTTTAATCTTCTTTGTGACATTTGCTCATTTACCACGAACTGGATTTTTGGAGGTATATGTTGATTTTTAATATTTAACTTTTGAAATGAAAATTCTTTAGAATGTGCTTTTTTAGCTTTGGAATGCAAGGAGATTTTGTGGAAGAAGCTTTCGTAAGTAGTAAGTAACAAATATCTGATCTCTGGTTGTTCTACTCTGTGTAGCTGTCAGCCCAGTGTTCTCCTACCAGTGATCTGCCAGTAGTACCTCATATGACTTGCTGTACACTGGAGAATCTCTACTTACTTATGGGAAGAGAACTTGAAGACCTTGAAGAAGTACCAGCAGGAAATGTTCTGGGTAAGATGTGACTTGTATTTAATTTCCTAGAGCTTGAAGCCTTGTATCAATCAATGTACACTGCAACTGGTTAGATGTGATTAATAAATAAGAAAACCTATATCTTATGAATATTTTTAGGGATGTCGTGCGTGCAAAAAAAGGAAGGCACTTTAATTAAATGGGGATTTCTGTGAACTTTGAATAGGAGAAAATTAGGGATTACATTAGCGTGTCATCTTCAGATTGGATTGTTGCCAGGTAAGCATTGCTGCCAGGAATTGCTGAAGGCAGTAGTAATTTCTCATATTTTCTAAATCTCAAGGATTATTTCTGGTTTCCTAATAGTGGAAATTCTGTAATGTGACTTTTTGAATGATGTGGCTGATTGTAAGTTTTCTTTATGAAAACTTGAACTATGGTGCTAAAAATTTCTTCCTTAACGACTGTGGCAAATTTTTCACTTTGTCCATGAACAAGGTTCTAGTGATGTCATCATAATCACTGAGTTATGCTCTTTTGTGCCAGATTCTGAGCTGCTTTGCTGTAGAGTGTGAATAGCATTCTTTGCTGGTTTTGTCCTTCATTTATCTTTTTTAATATCAAAACTACTCTTTAGAATTTAGAAAGTGTAAACTTTAAAAATTTGGTTCTTTTTTTTTTTTCATTGTGTGAATGAAAATTTTTTAACTACAGCAAAATATACAATTATTTTCCTGTCTGTTGTATGATTTTTAGAAATTTATGGCAAACATATAGTAAATGAAAAATAGGTCTACTCTGTCAGGATTGGATTCTGTTAATTTAGGCCGGTAACCATACTGGTCACTTGTATCATGGGCCCAGCATTCAGAACATAGTTTTATTTGGAAGCTTGGTATTTTAAAATTTTGAATTACGCCTTACTGTTGTCTGATTGTAGTTGACCATTTGCAGTATCAAAATGTATTAAGTACATGGTCTCTTTACTTCGAGAAATTATTAAGAAAAGAATCCCACCCCAAAACACTCTGCAGTACAAGTGAAAGGACATGGTTTTCATGTTTACAAAACAATAAATACTCCTGGAGCTGCCTCCTGCAGAGAAAAATATGTTGTGAGAATTTTATTATGTCTTTAGTGTGAAGAGTTGGATCAAATTTCAAGAAACTGTTTTGTACCCATCTGATTCCGCCAAAAAGTTGTGAGTGGTCTTTAGTGCTGAAGGTTGCTCTTCAGTGGGATCTAACTTTTCCATAAAAATAATTACTTGAGTGATAGGAGTCATATTTAGAAGAATTCATTAGAATTTTAAGATCAGAATTCAGTCAGAGCTCTTAGCCAGACTGTGTTTAGTATTTCATATTTTTTCATCAGATCACTGTAAAGTGATCACACAAAACAGGTCTTCATTTTTACCTGAAACATGCAAGTTCAAGTGTATATGTTGGATTTTTTTAAGTCTGATTGCTAAAGATTTTTTTTTAAAACTAAAAATCCTAAATACCTTTCCTTTGTTTCTCTCATTTCCCTGTAAAGCTGCATTGTTAATTTACATAAATTCAATAAACACCTTTACTGATTTGATGATGATTTATCACACTCAGGAGAAAATGCAAGACATTTATATGAAAGGAATATGTAACAATGGTGATGCAAGACTTTTATTAGTCCAGTTAGTAACAATGATTTCTGTTTCAAAGGCCATTTATCTTCCAGCTTTAAAGCATACAGCAGTGATTTCTCTCCAGCCATATAAGGAAATTGCTTGTGGATTATCTAGAAAATTAAGGAAACTTTGCTGAAAGCTCTGTGGTTTTACTCTGTGTAATTAAATTATTACCATAAGGAGTACACAGTTAGTCATGACTGCCTATTTCTGCTTTAAGACTTGTGGTAGAAGGTTTCTTTCAGGTTCTTTTTTTTTTTCAGGGTTTGGGGGGTTTTTTTGCTATTATTTTTAGGTTATTTCTTACAAGGAGGAATCTGCTTGGTCCCAGTGAGCAGCCTTTTTATCCTTTATACTGGCTTATGCAAAGGTTTAATGATCAAAGACATGGTTGTTTTACTGAAGATGGAAAGATTTCATTCCTTGTTCCTTCTGTTCAGTTAATATTTCCTTAAAACACTACTCTCCTTTTAATTGATAAAAATATGAGATTGCAAAATATTTTGAGAGGTAAAGGTAACGAAACAAATTGTGTTTTAACTGCAAAGCTGTGACACAAACAGAATTCAAAAATACCCAGCTGAAAAGTGTCGCTGTGTTCCTGTCTAACATGTAGCCATTTTGGAAAGCTTTGGGAAGTTATTTTCTGGTATTACTCTGAGTTCCTGGAAGTAAGGAGAGACAAATTTATTTGTATTGCAAATTAATTTGTATTGCAAGTTTGCAGCACAACTGTTTCGTCAAAAGTATTTGTCAAGAAGCTTGAAGCAGTGTGTCATTTTCAAGTAGTATGGCAAATACAAAATAGTGCCTCCTTCCACAAAGCCGTTTGTACTTCAGAATTTTTCTTTACAATCTTGTGTCTACTGTGCATTTTTTGTAAGCCTCGAGTAGGAGGTGAAATATGATTTAAAGCAAATGGAAAAGTTCTTGAGGACCAAAGATAATTAAGTCTTTGTAATAAAACTTCTTTTTAAAGTTATTTGTCAGAATATTCTTTGAAAGGAGTAAAATTCTTGTGTCAGACAAAAACCACTTGGTTTGCTTGGTTTGTAGAATTTGTAATTTAGAAGGACTATTGATTTTTCTGAGAACTAAGAAGGACTATGTGAACGAAGTGCTGTCTGAGGAGAAAGTACTCTCTCATTTTTCACCTTTTTTTTTCCCCTGCACTTCTGTTCGAGGTCCTGTGCCAGCAGACAGGATATTATACTTATTAACTGGCACTGTTACGGTCATTTTGTAGGCTTTTGAGTGAGCAGAGACCTTGCAGGAGGCGAATCTAGTTAGTGAAGCAGCAGATACCATTGTATGAGATTAGGTATGTGCCCTCAGATTCCAAATGCCACTTGTATTGAGTTGAAACTGCTGAATGAAAACATGATAGTCACTGGAATGGGCTATGGATGTGTCTTGAGGTTTAATTTGGAAAAATGTTGAAGTGCTGATCCAAAACTAAACCATGTGTCTCAATGCACTGTTTCAGGACCAGCTTATGTTTCCTCTGTCGTGTCACAGGCCTTTCCAAGGTGTGCAGCTGCTGAATTTGAACCTCCCTGTGGCCATGAGCTCTCAGAGCTCTGGGAGTGAGAGCCTGGTCTTGCAAATGGTCCTCCTGCTTGTCCTGGTTGCAGTGCTGGCTGCCTTTGTGTCACTGTCCTAAGGGCCCTGTCAGCTTCTGTAATGCCTTCACTTGGGCTGAGGCCTTATTGTCTTAACAGAAACAGCAAATTCTAACTAGGTATACCAAAATCATGCTTACATTCCAAATACAGAAGTGCTCTGTACTTGCAGACATTTAATGTGACAAGTAGGTATGCCATCTAAATCCCTATCTCAATATCAATTGATTTTTGGTACCAAGACATCTGGGGCATAGTTTGTGCTCTCCTTTTGAAAGCTGCCTGAATACTCATTGGAAAGAAGGTCCTTTATCCTAGACCTTGGACAAAAAACTTTGTGCTGTTTTGACAGTATTGTCCTTCTGTGACTATAAGGAGAGAAAAGGTACTTAAATATTAAATTCCAAAAACTGCTTGACTGATATATTGTTGCGTGTTCTTTGTGACACTGTAATTAACAGACCTGTGTTTGCATAATCAAGTCTATGCAAATAGAAAGCTACTGAAACTGCCCCACTCTCATTAAAGGCTTGTCCTTCTTTCCTATGGCAAAAATATAGTAGAGAAAGGAGCTTTGTATAGACTATCATCTGGCTTTCCAGACATGTTTAGCTTCTTTAGTTTATTGAGTATTAGAGAAGCTTCAGTTCTTGCTGGGACACTCCCCTTGTGCTACAGGGAATGTCTGTGGCACTGGAGCTGCCGTGCAAGCATCTTCTCCAGAGGTGTATTTGACGGGTGAACCCTGGCTGTAGCATAAAATCCATTGGTCTCCAGTTTAATTATCATAGCTCCTCTTACTAATGCTTAGTTTCTCTTTTAAAGGAAAACAATAAATGGTCCAGTCACAACATGTTAATTTATTTAATTTGGATGCCTTGTGTAAGTTCTTCTGTTTGCCAAGCAGTGTTAAGCATTATTTAACAAGCAGTGGAGACTGATAATGTAGCTACACAAATAGAAAAATTAACACTAACATTTATATTTAATATTTAATATTTTTAATTTTTGTTTGTTAATGAAAGTTGTGGGAAAGCAGCATTTATTATGTCTTTCCATGAATGAAAAAATGTTACTTCTTTAACTGAAGGGAAAACAATAACTTCAATTGAAACAGTTTTGAAAGTTCCACCAAGGAGATTATTACATTCAAGTTTTAAATTATTTCCATTATGTTTCTGTGTTCAGATTTTTTAGTTTAAATTAAGACTATCTCTCACACACAGACAGTTCTGAAGTGATAGTAGGTCTGTGTTATGGGGAAATCAAGAGAAAGTGGGGATGGTTGATTTGCTTATTCCCATGCAAGAATCTCTCTGCTTTCATATATATATAAATACATTTGTTTGTTTACTTGAACCAGTCAAAGAAAAAATACAATTACAGGAAAAGCATCACTTTGTAAAATTGTGAAATTTTTGTGGTTAAAGACTATAAAAAGAACTAAGTGGGTGATCCCCAAAGTAACAAAGGAAAAATCATAAGACAATATGTGAGGAAAATGTAATCTGGGCTCATAAGTGAAGATTGAACAAGTGCATGCTCTCCAGATGCACAGAATATCTTCCTTTTTTTTCTCTGTCCCTTTTTGTTATTTTATTTGGTGCTGTCCTATAATCGAAGGCAAAATGCCTTTTTTGTTCTGTGCAATAAAGGGGGGTTTGAGTAATGAAAACAGTTGTTAAAGGTAGTGTAAAAACGTATTTTAAAAAGGGGAAGAAAAGGTAGTAGTTTTTTTGGTGATAATATGCACAGATGAAAGGCTTAGGATTCCCATACTGGGTGCTGTTTCTTATTTCTAAGCAATTTAAGCAAATACTGATGTAAAAACCAAGGCATGTGTTTTTGAAAATACTGGTTTAGGTACTTGTATAAGTGAATAGTGTTGTGGGATGTTTTTCTAAGTTGGTTGAGTCATGTTTTTCCTTTGAAGAAACTGAAGGATCATTCAGTGGTACATTTTTGTTAATTGGAATAAAATTTATCTCAAGGCGTGTTGTGGACAGAGTCATGCATGTGCACACCCATGAGTTCAGAATGACACGCATCTTAAAATTATTGCTTTGTATACTGCTTTTTATTCACAAGTACCATAGCAATAGACTTATGTTTGCTAGTGTACAAACCTAGATTTTTCTTACAGCTTCCTATTTGACTATTTAAGTGCTTTTTTGTGTTTTGTGGAATACTGTTAAAAGCAAAGCTTTTTCCTTACCACTAGTTTTGTAGTGCTTTAGTGTAATGCTCATAGGAGGCTAGATGATTTCCTAAATGTTTTCAAATGCAGTTAGCTATGTGAGTATCAAGTGTTCTACCAAATTAAGAGCATTTGGGTTTTTTTAACTTACCAAATTACACTGTTAAAAGCAGGAATCCAGAAGTCACTCCTGTTGCCAACTCACTGTCTGACTTCCTACACGACAGACTGCTGGGTACCTTGGTTTTTCCATTTCTAAAGTGCTTGTTTTCAGGTGTCCTGTCAGTTATTTATAACAACTTGTTATAAACAAGTACATATGCAACCCTATATGCAACTTTTAGGTTCTTGACATGGGAGCAATACGACACAGGAAATGTGGGTGATTATGGATTCATACTCCTGGATTTTTTGGTGCCTCTCTGAAGATAGATTGCCATAGAGCTGCATGAAGAGCTGGTGTGAAGGAGTATAGCTAACCTCATTACAAGGTGTCTGACAAGCATTTTATTCCTTCGGGACTTCATCGAGCAATTTAGGAGCTTTTAATAAGCAGCCTCTGTTAAGAACAAAGAGCAGCTGTGAGCAGCGATGCCATTTTAAAGGCCCAGAATGGCTTTCTAGGCCTGGTGCCAGCCAGCGAGCATTACCACCTTCTGTGAGAGCACCAGGGGCAGGCCTGCTGCTCACCAGCCTTGTATTCCCGTGCAAACATTTGGTGGGCTAATTTCACTCTCTGAATCACTAATGTGATTATTTAAAAAAAAAAAAAAAAAGAAGATAAAATAAATAAAATAGCCAGCTTGAAGTGATTCCAGCTGCACGGCCTGTCTCCTCCCGTGCTATGGCGGGTGAACGCAGGAGGGCAGTCTTCCCCCAGGATGTTACTGAAGTGGGCTGAAAATAGTGAATGAAACAAAGAAAACTCAGACCTTTGTCTTCACTTTTGGAATACTTACAATTTTTATCTCCAACTGCCATCTTATAACGCCAGTAAAATAGCCATGCCTTTGTAGCTAGTTTTTAGTAATCCAGCACTGTTGAGGAAGAGGTATATAATTGAATGGATTTTATTGTTGAATGACATTTTCTCTCTGTGGGCTGTTGCATTTACCTGACATCATTGTATCTGTATTAATTTCCTGCCCAATTAATGTTTTATAGTTAAATTGTTGAAAAAATTAAATATGTTCAAGTTGTTTCTTTAAGCAAAAGACATAATAGTTAATCTGTTGTTTGGCCTCTTTCAGTGCTGGAAACTGAAACCATTTTTTTTAACTCTGTATTTGCCTTAGTGGATTTAGTCCCTTTGCAGTTCCTGCTCTTTGCTGTGTGTGCTTCTAACGAGCAGGCTGAGTAATTTGTGTTGCTTAGTGGGCAACATAATGTAACATGGTGCACAGCTAATGAAATAGTATCAACTGAAATCAGAAGCATGTTTTGGTGATCATGTTTTGCCCTGTTTGCCTTACCATTTCATGTGGTTTATTTCAGGGGATTTGACTTGACAAACTTTATTGCAAAAGAAATAAGTGATTCACGACCTTGTTTTCAAATCATTATTGACATGTCACTGGAGAGAAAAAAATATGTCCTGTCTTAGGTCAGAGTTACAGCACTGATGTGTCTTTAACTCAGCTAATTTTTGGGGGGGAAGGATACTTTGATTGTTTAATAGTTTCCTTATAAAGCCTTTTTTGTTTGGAGTTTTTTGGTTGTTTTTTTAATTGGAGAATTTAAATTGCATTTTGAGTAGCTTGGGTTTTTTTCTGTTTTTCTGACTGTAGCTTATTAAGACTATAAAAGGAAATCAGAAGTGTAGTAATTCTTTCTGGAGAAAACCACTTCTAAATTCTGTAGTGCTTCTGGAATGTTCTCTGCTCTAATTTTCAGGAGTTGATTACAGGGTCTTAAAAATGTGTTTTTTTAATCACATTTGAAAAATTGAACTATATAAGACTGTTAAAGCCCAAGTCTTAATACATTCATTTACCTATAAATGTAAGTTTGCTCTTGACCCCTGTTGGATTATAATGTCAAAAATATGTCAAATGATTAAGTTTTTGAGGAAAGGAGAGAATGCAACGAAACATTCTGTGTCAGTTTTAAAGTAACTTTTAGTTATTATAATCTGTAAAAACTGAGCTTTCGTGTAAATGGAAATTAGATTTCTAAATAATCTTGCAAATGTGAGGCAAGCACTCCTGATTCCATGGGGTTTGTATGCAGACAGCTAGTTGCTGATGCCTGAGGTTTTCCAAATAGTACCAGAAGGAAAACTGCCCAGACTTGTTGGTGTTGGTTGCTGCTACTTATGTGCCTGTGGGCAGCGGTGGGACTAACAAGAATCAAGACAATTTCATACCATTGCTGCTTGAAGGAACTCACAGCACAGCAGCAGGCACATGCTCTGCAGCTACTTAATATAAACCACCTAGAAATAGACTGGGAAGAGGGTCTGAGGTGCAGGCAGTCATCTCTGTTTATTATCCCAGTGTTTACTTTAGAGACAAGTGGTTCTTGGCCTTCAGACTTCAAATTTATTTGATGCCTTATTATTACACTGCCACTCATTGATCAGAATTCAGGGCCGGTGTTTGAGGAGACCTTTTCTTGTGGCAGAGTGGAGAATTGACTTGTGTAGTCATTGCCCCTGGGCAGGTGTTACTCAGCCTTTCAGCAGCTAACTGTTTGTGGGTTTAGTTTGGAGATACTACCTGGCTTATCTCCAGAGTCTCCAAATCTTCTATGAGAGTGGTTGGTTTGGTATAATTTTGCCAGTCTCTTTAAAATGGAAACATGGGGATTTTCTCCAGTATTTCACACTTACTGTCTTTAGCAAGCATCAATGTATTATTTTTAATCTCTCCCTCTATGAAAGTGACTATGTGCATATATAAATAAAGGGAGAACAGTTATACAGAAATAATAATATTTATTACTTGGCTAATGAGCCTCTTATTTTTTTCAATACTGTAAGAGTTAAAGTAGTAATATCATTGATGTAAAATGGTAAGAGAATCTTAAGGTGAAGTTTTGAGATGATTGGCTGAGCTCACATCTGTAATGTTGCATTTGGGATTTTGTTCAGCATACTGAGATACATCTCTGATGATTTGAGCAAATTACCTCATGTTTTCATTTGAAAAGCCTGAATGCTATACCCTTCTTTAGTCTGCTTATAAAAATTACTTGGAGCATTCTTTTGTCTTTGGTCTGTTGTATTTTTTTTAAGACCAGTATCCTCTTTAAAACTAGAATGTGAGCATTGTTTAGTAGGTGTCTGTAGTATAGCCGTGTGCCCACTCCTTTCTCATGATGTGGGTCTAAGGGAAACCTCTAACTTGTCTTGTTTGGTGGAAAATCTGTAAACAGACTTAGATATCCATTACTAAATGAGGCTCTATAATAAATTAACCAAAGTGACTTCAGTTTTGTACTCAGTTATTAGAATTCCATTTCTAAGAAAAAACCTGCCTGTTAGTGCAGCTATGAAATGCTGTATGGAAAGTGGGAAACATCAATCCAGGGATGAACTTGATACACCAGGGCACTGGAGTAAATGTCTGAGATTCAACAAACAGGCTTCATTTGAGGAATTAGTGTTTCAGGTTCAGTTTTCAACAGAGGTATAGATTATTTGATTTAACAAGGATCAGTATTTAGACTATATAATTGAACCTTTTATCACTCTGTACAAAATGGCATTAGGCTTATTTTCTTGCTTCTGAATTGAACATGCTAGAGAATTCCCTTTGCAGAAGTATTTGTTGTAAAACTCAAACTTTCAGAAACCTGTTTTAAAGGAACATTTCCTTTGTTTAATGTGACCTTGGGTTTTCTGAAATTCAAACTGAGAACATGCAGTGTCATTTCAGAAATAGGTGCAAAATAATTGCTTTAAGCACAAATGAGTTTGTAAATATATGCCTTACTACATGTAAATTCATGTATAACAATTCAGACATAAAAAAGACATCATAAATCAAATCTGTTTAGGAATGTGTGCAATTACCAATGCAGAAGGAAATTCTATTCTAAAAGGATTTTGGGTTTCGCAGTGTTATTTATGGACAATACATCTCTTGCTACTGTGATGGTGTACATGACTCAACTGGTGACATCTATTAAAAGATGTCTGTACTTTTAATCAGCTGGCCATTCCTTTAGCTGCTTTTGTCAGATAAAGTTCAATTTCTATCAGATGAATTAAGTTGTAGCTCCATTGCAAAGGCTGTCAATTCACATACTAAAAGGTAGTTGTGAAATGTTGATATTTTTTAGAGAATCAAGTCACTATATATTTTGGGGCAGATAACTAAATAAAACTGTAACTTGAATACTACCTCATGGGCTAGACTTTTACTCAAGTATGGAATTGCAAAGACACTAAAGGGTGTAAAAAATTACATTAGGTCATGAAATTATCCATTTGGATAATCATTGCTTTGTGTATCACAGAGATATATTTTACTTGTGTGTGCAGCTCCTTTCCTAACGTAGCTTCTCTTGCCAGGCCTCGTATAGAGTGCTGCTTCTTTATCCTTCTGCAGTCTCAAACAGGACAATGTCCTTTTCCCAACACAGCCTTAAATAACACAAATAATTGTATTCATGGTACAAAATATTTTCAGTTCTGATGTTTATCAGCACTGAAATACACCATGTGTAACTTGGGGTGGGAGAAGAAACTTGGATCTAGAAATGAGCTTAGTTGTCTCAAAATGTCATCCTCTCCATGCCCTGACAGAGGCAATGAATGAGTGAGGGATAAACATGGTTTTTCTAGGCAGTGTAGGCTTTGTTAGCTAAATCTAGTTTGTCACTACTTTTGTGTAGTTCTTGGCTTCTGAGTATTTTCTTTTAAATCTTTCCTTTTTCAGCTCTAGTACACCAGGAAGTTGTTCTCTGTATATGTGGTTTTTAGCAGTAAAAATTTTATAATTCTCTTTATTTTATGATCTTCTCTGTTTCTGTATCATCTCTTTTCTATAGTTCTGCAAAATTGAAGCCCCTTTACATGGCTTTGATTGAATAATGCTTTTTTTTCCCCATCTTTATACTTTAAGCAAATATCCTATGAACAAAACAGTTCTAAAGAACAAATTTAGTGCTTTTCTTGTTTTTCACTGAGTTTCAGTTTCTCATGACATATGCACAACTCTCTGATGAGGGTTATATTTTAAGTTCAATATCAAATTATTTCAATATTCAGAGCATCTGAATTATGATGATGATTCCTTGATAAATTAGGGTAGTCAGAAAATTGTCATGTAATTTTCCATATGTTTCTTTACAAGAACTGGCTATAGGAACCAGTTTTATCCTTTAAACTGCTTTCTTATTCCCATTTTATGTGAAGCCAGAGGGCACTGTTTTTCATACAATACAAAAATGTGTAGCTATTTTCAACTTTGGGTGAAGGTCTCACATGGATTCACAGCACTGTCAGTGTAGTGAAAACTTTATGGTTTTTAATGTGCATTTCTTCATGCAGAAAATCTACAAATGTTTTGACTCTAAATTAAATTAATCTTACGGAGTAGTCTGAAAGCCAAAAATCTGCAATCAGCATGGTTCCTAGTTATTAGCTCAGCTTGGAAATTTGCAGGTTTCAGAGGCAGCGTAGTGTTAAGTAAAGCCACTGCCATGAAAACATCTTGTTTAGCTTCTTTTTTTTCTTTGACACTTTGTCCTGAGAAAAGCTACTGTTTTATATGAAAAAGAGCTCCTCTTGGAATGTTTCTTTAACTTTCATGGCTACACTAATTGCCGCCTGCTCAGAGTAATAACCAGACTGTAGAAATTAGGCTGGACCTCCCTCAGCTGTCTTTGGAGTGTTAACAGGGCTCTGAAATCGACCCTTTGTCCCCTAAGCTCCCCAACCCAAATCTTAGTGTTAACCTCTTGTTTTCTCTTTGTATTCCACCTTCCTCTCTGTCTTTCCATCAGGTATTCTACCTCTGCTTTTTATTTTGATTACATTAGTTATCTCATGTCAATAGACTGTACCAGAATATTTTAGTTAACTAGAACCCAAACAAATGCAAAAGCTCTTCTTGTAACTGTCGCTGTTTATGCAATATAAACCACCAATCTGTGAGGGCAATTTATTTGAATGTGTTCTAAATTCCTGCTG